ATCACAAATATATCACAATTTCTGGCATTTTTATCTTTATTAATTCCATGGAAGTATACATATTTTTAATTTACCATACTAAGCTTAAAGGATGTATTTGATGTAAACATTACAAAAAAATCTCCCTTTTGCCCTGGGTCAATTTAGTGGTCTAACCTCATGTGGAAGGAGGCTTCCGCCCTTGTCTTGAAATTAGCATGACACAATTCACATACCTTCCCATCAGATATCCTCTCTCTTTCTCTCTTTACCCCTTTGCTTCTTGTGCTTTCAGCATTATTCTTCTCACTATTTCTACTTTTCTTCTCCTGATTCTTTCCTTTTCTCCCTACTCTTCTCCCTCCCGTTGCTCCTCTACTCTCCAAATTCTCTCCCACATTTCCTGGTTCTTCAACCTTTTTCACTTCTGCCTGTGTTCTTTCTATCTTCCTCGTTTTGATTCTAACAGAACTAGCTTTATCTAACTCGCTCAGTGTCATGATACTGTCAGAACTTCCACCTTCAGATGATAGACTTATTACCTGGCTTGACTTACTGCTACTTATCATTGACAGAGAATCTAACACATTTTCACTATGGCTTAGAAAGTCTTTCTTATCAAATGCCAGAGTTGTTTGTAGAGGCAAGCCCTTTCCATTGGCTGAACAAGATTCATCACTATCTCTATCTATTAGACTTTTGTTCATGCCTTTTCCTTCACCTTCTACTTTGACACCTGGACCAGAACATCCTGTCTCAGGGGCATGGATGGTGAGGATCTTGAGAAACGCCTCCTCTTGCTCTTCAATCTCAAGGCTGGTAATGGCTATGCTCTCATCTTCATCCTGTGAATCCATCTCCACTTTTATTGTGTTCTCCCTTCTTACTTCAGTATGCTGTAATCTCTTTCTACCTCTTAGGGAGGATACTGTTCTTCTCTGCTGCACTTTACCTTCATCACCTTCATATCTATCACGTAGCACATCCACCGAGGACTCATAACAGTCAATGGTATCAGTCCCGCTAAAGCTACCATCATCTACCGGCTCCTTTTTGATGAGAGGATCATATTTGATAGTGCGGCAATCCACATGGCGAGCCCGAGCAACATGCTCACGATATTCCCCTCTACTGGTAAATGATCTGTTGCACCGGTGGCAACGATATAACATCTTTTTGACATCATGGAGCGACCCTATATCATCTATGTGACTATGTTGCTTCTGCTCACACCAGCTGGAAGAGGAAGCCCTTGTTCTCTTTCTATCTAGTCCTGATGAGGTTTCTTCACTCTCCTGCACACTTAAGTCAGGGGTTAAGGATTCATGTAAAGAATTCATCATATAAACTTTTGAATCTAGGGCATCAACTACACCCACTGGATCATCAACAATTTCTTCATTATCTGTGTCCATATCTGTGGAAGGGATGACAGAATCCTGTCTTATCTCCAACTTTCTCTTACCAATTTGAACTCTTCGGGCCTGCCGGTCTATAGCATTCTTGGGTAGTCTCCCTCTCCGCAAATGGTCAATAACTAGACGTTTAGATACATATCTATCACTATATTCCTCTGCAATATCATGGGCATTGAAAAGATGTTGGTGCAACATTGACAGGTCATCAAACACAGCATTACAGTCATCGTGAAAACTGCAGTCATAATAGACGAGGATCCTCTTCTTATGGCGTGTTTTGGCCACAGCACGAATGGGCTTATCTGGAAAGTAGTCCCATTCTTCGTCCGGATGCCTTTTGCGGTAGTGTGCCACCAAGGACCGCTTCTCTCTATACATCATCTGGCAGAAACGGCAGCTGAACTTGTAGAGGTTCTTTATGCGACTCTCTGAGCTGTTTAACTGGTCCTGCAGCCACTGTGCTCTTTTCATCATTGCCCTCTCATTGCGGTGGGGATCCCTACCTCCTGTCTCTGAGAATCTGTGATAACGGCGGTGGTGGTTCTTTGATTCCACACTTGACTTCAAGAAGATGTTGCATTTGAGGCATTTGTACGCCTTTTCCCCCGGGTGCTCACGAAGGATGTGCCTTGTCATGGAGTTCTTGATTGGGAATTTAGCTTCACAGTAAAAACATTTAAACTTAACTTTCTCCCTGAAAACCTCATCATTTCGCAAGTCTTCAGGAATAAAGTATACCAGTGTATCACCCTCAATGGTCATCTCCACCTGTGACATATCTATGCTTGGAGAATCACTCTTGTCTTTCCCCCCACCCCCAACACCTCCACTGTTATTTTTGGCTGATTCACGTTGTAAAGAAACCACAAGCATCTTCTCAGGATGTTCACGTTTCTGGTGATAGCGCAACTTGTTGGGGTCTTCAAAGCTGTTTTTGCAGAACTCACAATAGTATGGCATCTTGTCTTCTGGATGCGTTTTCACTATGTGTCTGAACAGTCTGTGTCGCACTTCAGTCTTGAAGGGGCAGTGTGGACAGCTGTAATCCCCTCGTACTGTGCGGCAGCTATGCATGGTCATCTTTCTGCACGTTTCAAAGATATCATCACAATGCTGGCAAAACCATTCTGGGTCATCTGGATGTTGTTCTCGCACATGGCGTGCCAGAAGAAAACGATACATGAATGCACTACTACAGTATCGACACTTAAATCTCTTTACAGCTGCATGAATTTGTATGTGCAAGAGCATCTGTGTCTTATTTTGGCATGTCATGTTGCAGATACCACATCGGTGAGTGTAATCTGCAAGTTTGCGAAGCCCCACTTGGGCTGCCTTATCTCTCCGTTCATGCATCATAATGTGGTTGTTATACGTCCTCTTGTCTGTGAATGTCTCACCACATTTCTCACATTTGCTGGCACTCTCCTCCACATACAGTAGATCATGCATCTGCCACATGTGTGTTGTCAAATGCTCCAAAGACAGACACACCTCACTGCACTCCCCACACTTCAGACTGGACATCTCATGAGCCTTCTGTCTGTGTCTCTTCAGGGATGTGTAGTCCTTGAAGCCTTGCCCACACTCTCGACATGTAATAGGACGTTCTCCTGTGTGCAGTCTTTCATGGTACTTCAGGTTAGCTTTGGATCGGAATGAAGCAGAGCACCTGTCACACTTGTATGGCCGCTCATCTGTGTGGATGCGCTTATGGATCTGTAGTGGTGTACTGTAATGGAAAGCTTTATCACACTCATCACATTTGTACATTTTCTCTGAATTGTGTGTGACTTTGTGGCTATTTAAAGAAGAGCGAACTTTATAGGACTTATCACATTTGTCACACTGAAAGATCCCTGGTTCATCACTGTGAGGTGCATTGCGTACAGAGATCCTATCATCCTGGAGGAGCCTCACCAGCTTCTGTGGGGTGCAGGGAGCTGAAGCCATAACTAGGTTTTGCTCTGACCCTAAACTAATGAGCACAAAGTTGACCTTCTTTTCATGATAATTCTCCACAGGATCTGTAGGGAGACTAATAGATATCTGTGTATGTGTATCACCCTCAGCTGCCACAAGTTCAACATGTGTGAGGTAGAGTTGGTTGCTCAGCATGATTATATTGTCCCCAAGGACCAGCACGCCCCCTTCAAGGAGCTGAGGTGCAAGGGAAGCACATGCCTCCTCAGGTGGCCCCAGATTCCTCTCTTCACAGTCAGGTAAATACACAAGTTTTGCAGAGACCTGTAATGACTCATTTTTAGACCCTTTAATGAGAATGGATCCTTCCATAACAGCTGCACTCATTGTGGTTTGTGCAGTTACCAGTGGTAGGGACAGCATCAGGGGTGATGTGTCCATCACCTGCTCTGAAACTACTTCTTCTGCCTCACCCAGTGTGGAGGCTTCAGTGGATGCCACATCATCTCCAGTAAGCAGGGTGGAGGTGGCCGGAATCTCATTTGCCTCAAGCCCCCCCTCACATTCAACAATATGTATTACTGCCTCCTCCTTCCCCATATCCACCTCTTTAAGACAAGCAGCTTCACTAGTTGGCACCAGACTAATCATATCTGAACTGTCTACCAACCATCCCTCCAAACTTTGTGTGGACATACTCATTCTTTCACTCTGTTTCACAACATGCTCTAAGGTTGTCATCTCACTCTCACTGCTAAATCTAATACGAAGGGCAGGTTCCTCGCCCATAGAGTATCTATGACTGTCTTTATCTGCAGCTTCCTCTAAATCATCTGTATAAGACTTGATCTTAATAATGTGGTTGTTAGGATAGCCTCTGCTACTGGCAACCAGTGGTTCTCTCTTCCCATTCTCTAGTTCAAGCAAGTAACTTACTGTGAGTGACTTTAGGTCTCCATCACTAGAAGTACTCACTTCCTGACCTTCATGCATAACCTCTACACTCCTGAATTCAAAGAGACTCTCTCTCTTCTCTGCTTCTTCCATCTCTTTATGTTCATGTTGTTTGTTACCTCTAGCAGTTATAGAGTTCAAGTCACATGTGCTGAACTGGTGTTCATCATCCTCACTATCTAGTTCTTTCACAAAGTCAACTACTGTGTGGACTATGGCACTAGAGTTCTCTAAATCCATGCAATTCTGCCCAGAAGTTGTATCATGCAAACTGGTTTTCTCTTCCTTCACACATGATGCCTGTCCCACAAGATTACTACCCTTAAAGTTGTTGTCTCCTTCCACCAATCCCTCAGGATCCTGAGTCATTCTTTCAGCTCCTCTCATTATGCTGTCTACTTCTTCTTCCCTGCCACACTCCACCAATTGACCCTCCTCTTTCTTCACGATTACATAGTCTCCAGAAAGGTGACATGGCTCTTCAATCAATCCACTGCTGTCTCCTCCACTCGAGTTCTCCTCTTCTTTAACCAACCCACCAATTTCTCTTCCTTCTCGACAGATTTTGATCTCTCTGCTTCCTGCCTCCTCCACTCCATTCTGTGGGATTACAGTAGACCCTGGTTATTCAAGCTCAATTATTTTTTAATATAACTTCCCTACCCTTTATTATCAGAAATCTTCTTTAAAAATTATATGCTATGTTTTTTTTTTTCAAAGATTAAGACGCTTCTTAACAGTTTGAAAATGAGTAGAAGAAAATGCTTATACCAACCAGAGTCTACTGTGTCCCAAAAGAGGCTACTAGTATGTTTAGGAAAATTAAGAATGATGATACCTACTGTAACAAATGAAAATCCCTAAATCTCAGACAATTCCTCTTTAGTGCTTGCTAAACTGCATTTCATTTTTTTTAAATATGTCATACATAAATATTCAGCCTATGGCCAGAGGCTAATGTAAAAGTATCAATCTGTATCAATTTATGTAAATATGTACAACTTCATGTATGCATGTATGTATGTATGTATGTATGTATGTATCTATGCATGTATGTATGTATGTATGTATGTATGTATGTATGTATGTATGTATGTATGCATGCTGCCATGTAATCGTACTCGTATACTACTGTATGTATGGCCTAATGCTATGTATGCTATGTCTGTACTGTCACTGTATGTTCGTACATGCTATCGCTATCGCTATCGTATGTTATCCGATATGCTATGTTACTGTATGTATTAATGTATGCTGTTATCGTCATGTACTGCCTCTGCTACACTATATACGCTATGTCACCATTGCTACATAATGCTAACGTATGATACGTATTACATATGTCACGTATGGTGTGTATAGTATAAATGTCGTATATATACTGTATAATATATATCATATACTACTAATTATTTATATATATACTATAAATTAGCTACTATTATATTGTGTGTGTCGTGTATGTACTGCTACCGTATGCATATAAATACTGTGGAGCCTCCTGCCTCACAATGTTCTGTATACTCTGTTTGTATGATCACTGCCATGACCTACACCAACCACCTATCCACTTATGTATACGTACTACGTTCATTTAATTTATCTAATTCATCCACCCTTATCTAATCTAAACACCCAATTTGTTACTCGTCTGCTGTCCTTATCCATGATCATCCCTACACATGCAACTCCTGCTTTGAGTCCTGTATACACTACAATAGGATAGACAGACTAGAAGGACAGATGGGACTCGATACACGCACCCACGCACATAACGACACAAAGACCAGGACTAGGCCCCCCCAACAACACCACCCCACACGCCCCCACACAACAACGACAGCTACCCCACAGCAGACACCCACACGACACACACGCGCCCCCGCGTGGCTTATAGGTAGCGACCTAGCGCTCCAGCGCCTTCACAGCCGCCTACAGCGCTCGTCCTACGATCCGCATCACGCAATCGACCTAAGACCTCACACGATCGACTCACGACAATATACCGAACACTCCTAAGACCTAGCATACGCACCCTGATAGCGACCTGACCCCATCCCCTCACAGACCACACGATTACACGATCACACTACAGAACTTTTACACACACTATCCCCGCACACTCACAGCACTCACGATCGCTACAGATAGCATGATCCCGCACCTACCGACGACGAACGAACACCAGACACCACGACAGCCACACGACCAAGACAGACAGACAGATACACGCAGAACAGATAGATAGATACGAATAGATACGATCAGATAGATAGATTACCTACGACTACGGACAGATAGATCAATAGCTAGATCACGATAGATAGATAGGAAGCTGCTAGGTACGCGCTAGACAGGTGGTAGGTAGGTACGACACAGTAGCGTAGGGCAGCGTAGAATAGGTAGATAGATACGATACGACATAGATACGATAGAACCGGGCCATAGATACGCATAGATCACGATAAGCATCCCCGCATCGACTACGATACGATACAGTAGATAGATAGCTAGATAGATAGATAGACCAGACCTACCACTAGATAGGATAGACTAGATAGGATGCTAGATACAATAGACTGGATAGTGGATGAGATGGATGGATGGATCGGATGGATTGGACTGACGGATGGAATGGACTGGATGGATTGGCATCGTCGATGGATAGCTAGAGGATAAATAATGAATGGATCAATAATACCGATGGATGGCTGGCACTTGCGAATGGATGGACTGGATGGATTGGATGGATGCGATGGATGGATCGACCCTGGTCCTCGACTGGACTGCGCCACTGGATCCGAGGCACTGGATGAGATAACCTGACCCTGCAGACGCTAAAGCGCATCTAGCTAGATACGACCCTAAGATTAAGATAGATAGCCCCCGCTAGATAGGTAGGGGTCGGTAGGCCTCGGCCTGGTTAAGTAGGTACCGGTAGGCTAGTAGGCTTAGCGTCACCGCGCCCCCCTACGCCTAAGGTAGGTAGGTAGGTAGCGTAGTGTAGGTACGGTAGGTAGGTAGGTAGTAGCTCGGTCGGGACTTCGGTAAGTAGGTGGGTAGGTAGGTTGGTAGGTAGGTAGGTAGGTAGGTAGGTAGGTTTAGGTAGGTAGACTAGGTTAGGTAGGCTACGGTAGGTAGGACGCTCGGCCGGTCGGCCCCCTCCGCCGTCCCGCGATCACCAGCCCTAGGCTAGGATAGGTAGGTAGGTCAGATAGGGTAGGCATAGGACTACACTTGATCCGCGTCGGGTAAGTAGGTAGGTGCCCCCCCCCTAGGCATAACGGTAGGTAGCGTCAGGTAAGAGGTAGGTAGCGTTACGCAACCCCCCGCCGCTCCACCGACCCTGTAGAGGTAGATAAGGTAGAGTAGGTAGGTAGATGGTAGGTACGGTAGAGGGCTCACGCGCTACACACGCCACTAGAAGGTAGGTTAGGTAACGACGGTAGGTTAGGCATAGACGGCTCAGGTAGGCTAAGCGTAGAGGTAAGGTAGGTAGATGGTAGGGTGGTAGAGGTAAGGTAAGGTTCGACGGCTGCCTATCGCGCTAGCCGGTACGCGCACGGTAGAGCGTAGGTACGGTAGAGGGTAGGCTAGTAGTAAGGCCTCTAGCAGGCTATGTAGGCAGATAGGTAGGTAGGCAGATAGGTAAGACTAGGATAGGTATAGGCTAGGTAGGTGGTAGGTAGCTAGGTAGCGTAGTAGGTAGGTAGGTAGGTAGGTAGGTAGGTAGGTAGGTAAGGTAAGGTAGGTACGCATAGGTACGATAAGAGTACCTACGTAGTATCGTAGGTAGTACGTACGTACGTAAGTAGGTAGTAGGAGGTAGGTAGGTAAGTAGGTGGTAGGTAGTAGGTAGAGTAGTAAGTAGGCGGTAGGATAGGTAGATAGATAGATAGATAGAATAGATAGATGATAGATAGATGATAAGATAGATAGATAGATAGATAGATAGATAGGATTAGATAGATAGAAGATAGGTAGGTAGGTAGGTAGATAGGTAGATAGGTAGATAGATAGATAGGGATGAGATAGATAGATAGATAGATAGATAGATAGATAGATAGATAGATAGATAGATAGATAGATAGGTAGATAGATAGATAGATAGATTGTAGATATAGATAGGTAGGTAGAGGTAGGTAGGACAGGTACAGACAGGACAGCCGACAGACAGACAGACAGACAGACAGACAGACAGACAGACAGACAGAGACAGATACAAACAGATAAATAGATAGATAGATAGACAAACAAGCAAACAGAAACACAGACAGAGGTCTGACATATAAAGGATTAGATATACAGATAAGCAGAAAGACAGATGGGTATATATTTAAACAGGTAAGCAAACAGACAGGCAGATTAATTGACTAATAAAGGGTGTATTACAGAATGCTGATTATCAAGAAATTGTTTATTCATTGTTATTGCTGAGTTATAGACTACCTTGAAAGAAGATAAGAAGTGTGTTCAAGGAAAACATTCTATTACCATCTTGACACACCATATCAAATAACAAATGAAGACCTTGAGAAAATAACAGAAAAGCAAAATATGCTTATGCAGAAAAAATAAAAAAAAATAAAATAATAATAATAAAATAAAAATAAATAATAAAAATAAAATAAATAAATAAATAAATAAATAAATATATAAATATATATAGCAAGGGGGAGGCACGGGGTCTTGACACCACACAGCTGTTCATGTGCCCAAATTTTGGGCCACAAGTGGGCAACAAGATACCTGGATCCATTGGTTTATGGGGGAATGCAACACTTGGATTGAAAATTTACTTATTTCAAACAAGTGTGCATAATGTTCCTCAACCATTTAGAAATCATTTCCAAATATTGTGCAAACTCATGACATGGCTGTATGACATTTAAAGGGACAGAAGGTCAAAAGCCCAGGCATGGGGGCATCACAGTTCCAAACTAATATACAGGTAGAATATAGGCGATTTTCCTCTGAAATATCTCAACAAATGTGTTTGTGCTTAGTTTAAATTTATATTACACTTGAAGTCTGTTATCAAGGTGAAATGCCAGCAGCATTCCAACAGAGCAATTAGTGGCTCATGTTAGTTTATCTTGAGGTATTTAGTGCTACTTTCATCCCCATTTTACGTTATTAGACAATCATCACCATGGATAATCAAAAGAAGGAAATTTAAATCAAAGACTCACCATGGATAATCAAAAGAAGGAAATTTAAATCAAAGACAACACCAAAAAATATCTGAAAGCAATATATGCCAGAAGTAACAAGTGCAGAGTGTCCAGCAGCACGTGACACACCCACGCTCACATCTTCACCTCCACTTCTTCCTCCTCCTCCCTTCCTCCTTTTCTTCTTCTTCTTCTTCTTCTTCTTCTTCTTCTTCTTCTTCTTCTTCTTCTTCTTCTTCTTCTTCTTCTTCTTCTTCTTCTTCTTCTTCTTCTTCTTCTTCTTCTTCTTCCTCCTCTTCCCTCCTCCTCCTCCTCTCCTCCTCTCCTCCTCCTCCTCCTCCTCCTCCTCCTCCTCCCTCCTCCATTATTCCTTAGAATTACTGATGATCATTTCAGTAAATAATCTCTATGTTCATTCATATGATGCTCAAAATTCTTTAAAATCAGGCAAGAAATCAGATGGATAAACCAATGTTAAGTCTTTAAAAAGCTGTATCTCTTTTCAATATATTTTGTCAATGAATACTCGCAGAAAATCAAAAATCAAACAGA